CACAGCCAAACGCGTGTGCAACCTTCAACTTCCTAACGAGTGAGAAGCGCAGGGCAGCTGCCGGGCTCATCCCCCCGCGGGGCACCTACACGGGGATGTAGGACTTGCCTGCTGCTGCAGCGACGGGCTCTGCCCTTCCTGCCTGGAGCCCCCAGCGTCACCCGGTGGAGAAACGCCTTGGACTGAACTGCCAGAACCCGGCTGTGGCTGAGGGGTGGCTCTGTGCACGGGGGTGTTGGCTGGGAGGTGCTTGGGCTCGGTTCTGTCCCAGGCTCCCAGCTTCTCAGCCTGCGGGGGGCACAGCAGGAGGCACGAGCACTGCTGGCAGAGCCCGGGGGTGCCCGGTGCTTTGGCAGCAAGAAGCTGTTGCCCCGAGGCAGGGTGGGGGCTGGCAGGCTGAGCTGCACACCCCCAGGCTTGTTTTGGGCTCCACAAGGAAAAATTACATGTAATTTGGCGGTACAAAGTGAGTGTGTGGTGGTTAATGCACAGGAGAGCGAGGCTGTGACACCCCCGCTGTGACACCCTCGCAGTGCCTGTGCTCGCTGCCCTGGGCTGAGTGGGGGGGCTGTGGGCTGGTTGTTGCAGCTCCCTGGGCAGCATCAGGGGTGCTCCTGACAGCAGCTCCCTGGGCACAACCAGCTCCAGAGCTGGCACTGGGCTTTTTACACACACACCTTCATGAAGCCTTGAGCTGCAGTCATCCCTGGGTGCTGCACCCCATCTCCCTGCAGGTTCAGCTCCAACAGGGGCATGGAGAGGGTCACTCTCCTGGTTTCAGCATCTGTAAATCTAAGTTGATCTATTTTTTTTTTGCACCAGTCAGCATTATTAGACAGGAAACACTGGTGCCAACACACACCCTGCAGCAGGAGTGACATTAGCATATGTTGGAGATGATAACACAGAAGTAAACCACCTTTGACACCTGGTGTTACTAGCACAGGTAACCTGGCTCTGCGGGGTGGGGATTGCAGCAGCCAGGTGTGTACAGATACAAACCCCAGCTCTTTTGGAACCCATGAGTTCTCAGTTGTGCTCTTCCCAGTTCCTTGTTCCCATACTTTCTGACAAAGGGTAGGAGAAGCCTGTGGAAGTGATTGGTGCCTCCCACACCATCTGGGATAACATGGGATTGTGGGGGGACAGTACAGGATGTTCAGGGACAGAAAGGCAGATTGGTGAGGACCAAGATGGGGAGATACAGGTACAAGGGCCTGGAGTGTAAGCAGCTGCAGTGCAGCACACTCCAGGGGTGCCTGTGGTGTGCACACACCCACAAGCATCCCCCTGCTTATTGCAAGAGCTGGACCATTTAGCTTTCTTGCCCAGGAGCCAGTTTTTTTTTTCTGGTCTCAGGAAGGCTTTTTTAAACACCCCACACTGCATTATCCACTCCATGTCCTATCAAGAGGCTGTCTCTTCCCTGCTCCTCCCCTCTGGGGCCATCAGCTGCTCCCAAGAGGCTGCAGGAAGGAGAACACAGGCAGCAGAGAAGGAAGAGGGCTCCAGGCTGACACCAACTGCACATCTTTGCCTCTTTTATTGTAAAACACGGGCAACACGTGCAAGGCCCCAGGCACCAGCCCAGGATGACTGCTCCTGGGTTGGGGCTGGGCCCTCTCGGGTGGTGAGGAAGCAGCCACGGGACACAGGGAGCTCCAGGCAGCCCACAGAGTAACAGCACTTCTGCAAGAGCAGCTCCCACGCGGAGTGGCACAGGGCTGAGTGGCACGATGACAGACACAGATGGACCTGCTTCAGAAGAGACGCTTCTCATACCTGGGAGGGGAGCAGCAAACCAGAGAGCTCTTTGACCCACCTGCTGGAGCAGGGCCAGGACCAAAGGCACAGCTAGGAATGGGCCTGCTGGCCCATGGTGGGGAAGAGCCCCTGCTGGGGGAGGAGTGCTGGCCCAGGCCAGCAGACAGGCTGTGGCTCAGCCCAGCTTGCAGCAGGTGAAGCCAGCAGTGTGCCAGGACAGTAGCATTTAACTCCCCCCCAATGCCCACCCCAGGGAGAGGGGAGTCCTGGCAGCAGCACTTACGAGTGGAGGCCATGCACTCCTCCTTCCACCTGGGCAGACGTTGTCCTCTTCTCAAACTTCAGCTCTCCCGAGTACATCATGGCCCTGAGGGGGAAGGATGTGTGTCATGTGCCAGCCAGAGCCCAGGGAAAACAATGCTCTGACACACGTTCAGCTGGGACAAAGGACCCTGGTTCCTCCAGTTATGGGCAGAATGGTCTTTGATGGCTCCCCCAAGAGCCAGGCAAAGTATGGTAAACCAAACATTTCAGGCTCAACCAGAATATGCCACAGGATACCACACCCCTGCATCTCTAGGGCTGGCAGCTCCATGACACCATACCCACTGGAGATGACGGAAGAGGGTCAGACTATGCAGAAAACACCACAGCATGGGTACAGCTTCCCCAGAGACCCCAGATGGCAACACTGTGGCCTAACCAGAGCACAAGTGAGGGGGAGCACTCACCGGACTTGGGTCAAGCTCTTGGCACCAAT